GCTGCTGCCAGAGCTGCCTCTCCTCCCCTGCCTGGGTCCTCCCCTGTGCCTGGAGCAAAGGGGCTCTGACCTGTCCCACAGACAGACCCCGCAGACCTACCCTTGCCCCTGGCTCTGGCTGACTGCCCAGAGCACCTGCCCCTGATCCCACGGGACGGGCGTGGGGTACGCTTGGGGCCCCTACAGACAGCCCCATGCAGCCAGCGTGCCCATGCCCATCACACTGTGGCAGCCATGCCCCAGCAATGCCCCTGGTCCAGCCCCTGTGCTTCCTCCCAGGCCAGGACTGGAGGGGTGTCCTCAGCATGTCCCCGGGTGCACAGCGTTGCACCCCGTCCCTGCACCCCGACCCTCTCTGCAGTCCTGGCACAGTGGCTGGGGGCTGTGGAGGACAGCTGGAGCCTTGGGACCAGCCTGGGACCAGCCCCTGGGGCCCCATCCTGCACCTGCTGCGTGCGGAGCCCCCTCCCCAGCCTGTCAGGGCTGGCAGCGGCTCCAGCTCTGCTTCAAAGGAGCCACTGCAGGGCCAGCCCTGGCAGCTGCTTCACACGGTGCTGGAGGAGGGGGGGCTTTCATTACTAGGATGGGGGGGAGCATGAGCTCAGCACCCCAGCGAGGACAACAGTGACATTTGGGAGGCACGCAGAGACAGTGGGGCAGGGTGATTAGCTGATAACCTTTCCTGAGAGACGTCAGATGTGTACACCGGGGAGGGGGGGGGACACCTCCCACACCAGGAGCCGCTGGAAAACAGCTCCAAGTGCCCCAGCCTGCACCTTCGCACAGGATGGGGAGACTGCCCCAAACCACGGCCAACCAGCCCTACAGCCTGAGCACGCTGAGGATGGGCACCCCTCCGTGACACCCGCAGCATCGCCATGTCTGGCTGTGTCCATCCCAATGGGTGGGCCAGGACCCTGTTGCACTGGGAGCCCCCACAGAGGGTGGGGGCAGCCCCCCAGCACACATCACAGGACTGCACGGGTTGGGGGGGAAGCAGCACCCTCCTGCAAAGGGGCAAGCAGGGAGGGGATGCAGTTTCAGAGGGAGGTGCCAAGGTCCAGCTTTGGCAAAGGTGCCAGCTGGGTGCCGGGGCTGTGTGAGGATTGCCCCTGTGCCAGGGATGGGGCTGTGCTGGGAGCAGATGTGGGTGACTTTTCCCAGCCCCCCAGTGGGCCAGGGGGCCAGCAGCGCTGCAGAGAGGGTCCCCGCGTCCCTGTGTCCCCACGGACAGTGCCATGCTGCGAGGCAAAGGGGCTCTTCCCCAGAGGCATCCCCACGCAGGATGTGCCCCCTCCCTGCCCCGCAGAGGGGGGCCGGGGGCCAGGGCCGGGGGCCAGCAGCGAACAGGGGGG